GTTTTGTTGCCCAGTCTGGAGTGCAGTGGTGCGATCTCGGCTCACTGCAACCTCTGCCTCCCGGGTTCAAGTGATTCTCCTGCCTCAGCCTCCTGAGTAGCTGGGATTACAGGCACCCACTATGGCGCTTGGCTAATCTTTTGTATTTTTAGTAGAGATGGGGTTTCACTGTGTTGGCCAGACTGGTCTTGAGCTCTTGACTTCAGGCGATCCACCTGCCTTGGCCTCCCAAAGTGCTGGGATTACAGGTGTGAACCACTGCACCCGGCCACTCTTTATTCTTTTGCATACCTGTGACAACATAAAAAATTCATTTGGGGTATTTATTTATTTAATTTATTTAGAGACAAGGTGTCACTGTGTCACCCAGGCTGGAGTGCAGTGGCACAATCATAGCTCACTGCAGCCTTAAACTCCTGGGCTCAAGCAATCCTCTCACCTCAGCCTCCTGGGTAGCTAGGACTATAGGCATATGACACCACACCTAGCTTTTAGGTGTGAATTTTTCTTTTTCTTTTTTTTTGTAGAGATGGGGTCTTGCTATGTTGCCCAGGCTGTTCTTGAAATCCTGGCCCCAAGGAGTCCCCCAGCCTCAGCTTTTCAAAGTGCTAGAATTACAGGTATGAACACCCAGCCTTTTCTTGGGTTTTAAAAATGTATAAATTGTATCACTCTGTGGATATACTTTTGTGCTTTTATTTCCCACTTGATGGTTTTGAGACTTATTCATTCATTCATTTTAGCAATTTTGGAATATTACAGTGTATTTCTTTAAAAAAACATTATGCAAACTTTTATTTAAAAAAACACAAATATACAGCCTTTTTTTTTTTTTTAACTTCAGTTATGTGACATATTGCATTTTCCAATTAGTTTAAAGCTTTAATGCTCAAGGATGCCTCTGCTTTCAGTTGTACATGGGCCTGAAGCATCCTATGTTTTGGCAAACACACAGGAGACGCAACAAAAACCAAAATAGGAGCATTAATGCAGGGCACATCTGTAAACATATTATACAATTGAAAATTACAGTATCAGTCAAAGTGTTATCGTTTTTCAGGTGAAATGAAACTGTCTGCAACTGGCTTACCACAAGTTTCTGAATCTGGACTGATATAATAAGTTATATATATATTATATATACGTATATATTTTAAAAGTTTTGTTTACATCAAGTGGGAAGGGCTTATTTACATCAAGTGGGAAACTATGCTTCTACTTGTAAAATCTGAGCAGGGGATATTCCAGTATATTTCATGTATGTATGTATGTATGTATGTATGTATGTATGTAGAGACAGGGCCTCACTGTGTTGCCCAGGCTGGTCTTGAACACCTGGCCTCAAGTGATCCTCCCGCCTCAGCCTCCCCAAGTGTTGGGATTACAGGCGTGGGCCACCCCACCTGGCCTCCAGTATGTTTCTGTACTACAATGTCACGTTCCAGTAAGTTAAAGAAAAAAACTTCAACATCAAAACTTTCAGAATATGTGTCAATGGCTTAGAAGAAAATACCGGAGATAATAGTAGAGACTTTTTCATGAAATGTTGTGTTACCACTTCTTGATGGCGATAGTGAGTGTCAGAGACTCTAAGTTGAGAAGTGATTTAGAAGAGTTGGACTCTGAATATGAAGTCTTAAGAGTATCTTACCTTATTTATTTTGCCTATGTTATTAATGCAGAGGAATAATATATGATAAAAAATTGTATAAATATATTTAAAAAGCTCTTACGGTAAATATAAAAAATGTATGAGTGATAAGAAAGTATTATGTCATGGTTGAAGTGATAGCATTTTTCTTTTAGTCTATAAAGTAATGGTGCATCTTATAATGAGTGACATTTTAAGATTCAATGAAATATGATACTATTTATACACCGGTGGACTCAATGCTAATATTTATTTAGGGTTTTACATGTGTTCATAAGCACTGTTGGCCTATAGTTTTACTTGTTCTACTTTCATTGTCTATTTTTTGGATCAGTGACATATTAGCCTCATAAAATGAGTTGAGGAATTATTGCTGTATGTTTTCTGTGGAAGTTTGAGTCAGTAAGATAGAGGGTTATCTATTTCTTGACAGTTTTGTCTGAACCTAGTAGTTTTTTAAACGGAAGGAATAGATTTTTTACTACTGATTCGATTTTCTTCGTTCTTTTAAGTCTCATGGTTTTTTTTTTTTTTTTTGAGACGGAGTCTTGCACTGCCATCCAGGCTGTAGTGGAGTGGCGTGATTTCAGCTCACTGCAATCTCCACCTCCTGGGTTCAAGCAATTCTCCTGCCTCAGACTCCTGAGTAGCTGTGACTACAGGCATGCGCCATCATGCCCAGCTAATTTTTTTGTAGCTTCAGTAGAGATGGGATTTCACCATGTAGGTCAGGATGGTCTCAATCTCCTGACCTTGTGATCCACCTGCCTCCCAAAGTGCTGGGATCACAGGTGTGAGCCACCGCACCTGGCAGTTCTTCTGTTTTCTATTTCCATTTGAGGTTGTTTTGATAATTTGTATTTTTATAGAAATGCTTTATAAAATGATGCTTTTTCCCTTAAAGTCTTGTTTTATATTAGTCTAGCAATGCCAGCTTTATTTTAGTGCAGGGGATGGGGAAATGATACTATTTTTCTAGTATCTTTTCTCATCCTTTTATGAAATTTCTTTGTTTTTAGGTATTAAGTGTGTCTCTAAAAACACATTATTGCTAGAGTTTATTAATTTAATAACTCACTGCAACCTTAATCTCCTGGGCTCAAGGGATTCTCCTGCCTTAGCCTCCCAAGTAGTTGAGACTACAGGTGTGCACCA